AAGCATGATCGCATGTTGTTAAGTTGAAGTTAGTCATAATTGAGGAATAAATACTATCTAAATACATAATCGTATATTAATATTAAGAAGTGGCCATATTAACACGCATGCTATTACAACTTAGACTACTTATTGGTCTACTTATTGGTCTGTAATCACAACAATAAATATAATGGCTGTGCAGATGACATCATTCTGACACAGGTGTTAATAGATAAAATACTGAATGGTATTTAATGAAGAAACAAAAGGGTTGCAACTACAATTATAAAGATTGTGATTGCATTTGTAAGTTTTTGCCATGTCATTACAAAAAAAACGATAGCTCATGCTAGTTAAATTTAGTCTCAGTAGTCTTTGATTGTAAGTGAGTCCAGTCTGGCCAAAAACAAATACTAGCATAGAACTTTTTAAATCAATTGTTGATCTTTTTAAAATCTAGGATAGTAGACAGAGCTGCAAGAATCAAGGTGAGGACGAACAAGGAAAATAAACAAAGTACGAAATGTCAAGATTGACATTGACAAATAATTTTTCGATCATTCCTACAATTTTATTGGCGGTGTTAATCTTTGCACTTATAAAATAAAAGTCAAATTAATGTCAATGAAAATCCCTTTATTGACAAGAGTTTTTAATATTAATTGAAGTATTGAGATTTTTATCAACGAGTATATAAATGAGTTTTGTATTTGTTGGTTCTAAGGGCTTAACCATACATTTTTTTACATTAAAACTTGGTTTTTATAGTTTTTCCCAGTTTTCTTTAATGTCCATACTTTATTGCAGGTTATTGCATGGTGAGCTATCAAAAAGCAAACTTGTCTGACTTAGTATCATCTGTAAATACAGATACAACATCTAAAACCAAATCAGAAAAATCATTATTATATATCATAAAAGTAAATAATGGGGGGCCGCACTATTTACTATTATCCATTCTGAATATGTACCACCAACAATAATACTCTAATGCCGATCTCTTAGGTAACATTCAAATCCAATTGGTGGAGTTAGTCATCTATTCTATAAGCTTTTAATTTTAGAAGTAGGAGATGTGAAATGTGTCAAAAGCTTCCGATATATCTGATATAAATTTTTTATATCAGTTTTATTCTACAAGGCTAATGTCTAACATCAATCCTCACTAAAGTTTATTGCATTTTTAAAGTCCCATTACTATTTTCAGCATTACTTATTGTGTGAATTTTACTTTAATTTTGTTTAACTACTCTTAATATAACGTGATGTAGCAGATTTAGTTTAACTTATTGATTTCTTTATTACCTATAAAATTGCATTAAACTATTGCATAAAATAAAATGCTATATAAAATAAAAGACATTTAAAAAAAAACTTTTTTATTGCAAAATTACTATCTTGTAATAAATTTATGTACACATTTATGTGTGTGTCCATATGTGCGTCTATAATATAAATATATATATATATATATATATATATATATATATATATATATATATATATATATATATATATATATATATATATATATATATATATATATATATATATATATCATATATATATATATATATATATATATATATATATATATATATATATATATATATATATATATATATATATATATATATATATATATATATATATATATATATATATATATTATTGACCTTCACACACACAGACGCACATATGCACACACACAAACACACACACATAAATTTATTACAAGATAGTAATTTTGCAATAAAAAAGTTTTTTTTAAATGTTTTTTATTTTATGCAATTTTATAGGTAATAAAGAAATCAATAAGAAACACAGAAACATAGCATTAAGTTAAGATGTTTTCTTTTTTCAATAAGAAAATTACAAAATTATAATCACAATTTATAATAAATCATATACCACAAATATTACTATTCCAACTCACATAAACATATTTACAGTTTCACATTAACCATATAAAAACATTTGCAATTACAGACAAAACCGAACAAACATGTTAAATACAATGCATTGCTCTCGAGCACTTCTTTGCTTAGACATGTCTATTTCCTGTACCAATTTGATAACTACATATTTTCTCCGTCGGTCGTTATTTTTTTCGTTATTTTTTTCGGTCGTTATTTTTTTCGTCACTAATGGTTCACTAAGTATCGCCAAATTTCGTCGGTCGTTATTTTTTTCGTTATTTTTAAACGTTATTTTTTTCAACAGTAACGTTGTACCAATATAATGCTTCCGGCATTGATATTATAGATTGCTCTGCTAATCTTTTTGTTGTACGATGTTTTTTTTCCACAATTCCTCTCAGGGTAATAAACAGCCCGAAACGTAATACGCACTCCCTAACTGTCAAGGAAACTTTTTATCTCTTCAGACTTAAACATTGCCTCATTATCTGTTATTAATTTGGATGGCGCTTCTCGTTCGCAAAATATAAGACGAAGAATTCGAACTATTGCAACACTTCCTATAGCTAACAGTTTAAAAAATGAACTATGTTTCACTCTAAACTCTTACTTGAAGTTTGAAATTGATTTTAAAATGTTAAAATCTAACAAATAAGTTGGGCCTGATGGTATTAATCGCAACATCAGTTAAACAGGGAATTTTTCCGCAAGCTCTAAAATTAGCAAAAGTCATACCAATATTAAAAGATGGCGACATTGAGAATATAAGTAACTATCGTCCGATTTCACTACTTTCTGTAATCTCTAAATTTTTTGAAAGAACTTTGTACAATAAAATTTATAATTATCTTACTATAAACAATTTATTATACAGCAATCAGGGGCGGACTTAAACCCCGTCAAGTGCTGCAAGTGACGGGGTAAAAAACAAAAAAAATAAATAAGTATTATGACGTCTAACGCCCGCCTAAAGTTAATTGTTGATCTATATATTTTTGTTAGAAAATATAATTAGAAAAAATTTACAGTGAAAACTATGCTTTGCAGACGTTTGAAAAAGTGTTTTATAAAAATTGCTAATGTAAACTATACTTTGCAGGCTATTAGAAAATTATTTATAAAACTTGCTAATGTAAACTATACTTTGCAGGATATGAGAAAATTATTTTATAAAACTTGCTAATGTAAACTCAACTTTGCAGGATATGAGAAAATTGGATAAGTTCATTGGTTTACGCTATTAAAAGTAGCAATTTGATTCGTTTAAAAAAAAAATATGTTTAGTGTAAACTATCCTTTGCAGCATTTGCAGCAGTAATTTGATTGGTTGCAAAGATCGATAAACAGCTCAAGGAACTCAAAGAACTCCGCTCTAATAACAAAGTATTTAAAATTTTAACGTATAAGCATGGCTTACAACTTGATTGATGATGCACTTAAAAGATTTAAAACCGATAATCTTGTCGATTTAAATACTTTTTATGAAACTTTATTGGATACATTTATTTACAACAATAACAAAATGGTTAGTAACGAAGGTCTTCTAAATCGTTTTATTGATGGCACAATAAGAAGAAATATATGTGCCGAAGTTTGTATCCCTTCTTACTTAAAAGACAATAAGATGCATTGTGTTGCTCTAAGGTAAGTCAATTTACTTTTTTTTCAAAAATAATTATCTTATTGTATTTTATTACAAAATTTAATACTTTTTTGTAAAAATATTTATTGTTAATACCGTATTAATCTAATCTATAAAAAAATCTTGTTGACTAATCAATATTTAATAAGTGTCAACACCGTCAAATGATTTTGACATGTATGAATATAATATGTTCATGATGTATGTATTAAATTCCTACATGTCAAAATCGTTTGTTGGTTTGTCTGAATTCTTGACTATGAATTTATGAATTTGTTTAAAAAGCAAAGATTTTTTACTCAATTTTAAATTTATTGATAAAAGAAGTTTAGCTCTTAAAAACATGAAGTAAATATATTTTTTTTTCTCAAGGTCTAAAACATCTGGAAATTGTATGTACAGCTCTGCATCATTATTTTTTGTTGCTGACAATACACTGATGGATGTGTTAAGAGTTTTAACATCCCTTGAAATTTATATACATGCTGATTATTACTGTAAGCATCCTTATTTTTAAAAATATTTTCTGATTATAGTTCTCATTTTATTAATATCAAAAGTTTGTTGTGTATGTCAGTATCTCATTCTGCATTAGATTCTGGCTTCGAAAATAATAATATTATAAAAGCTGAAGCAATTGCAAACTGTGAGAGCACAGAAAAATGGGCTGGTTTTTTATGTTTGTTAGGTTTATCATCGGTTCTTTCTTGTAATATTGTTTCCTGTTACCCAGATTTTGGTGTTGAAAAGTATAAAATATTTTTTAACCAAGAGATCTCACCACGTACTCCCATTAAATTTTGTTCCCCATTTTACATTTTGTTTTGTTATGATGGGAATTTTCAGTCAGGTACATTTCAGCATAATCACTATGTCCCACTAATTTTTATTCCTAAAAAGCGTAAACTTTCCAGTAAATCAAAAACAATAATTTCAAAAAAGTTGCTGCCAGTCTTATCACCTAATAAATTTCTAGATACAAAACAGACCACCATTGATCAAGTTGCTACAATTGTACCCAGTACAGAAGCTAAAAATCCAAATAAAAAGCCTTACTCTATCCTTACATTCTTTCATAAAACAAACCCAGACATAGAACCTACTAGTGCAGTCTTACAAAATATATCTTGTATTCTAAAATCAAATAGTTTTTCTTCTCAATTAGCAGTGTCTTCTTCTCAATCCACAACATCTTTTCAATCATTAACATTAAATAAAGATATTTCTTCTCACTCAAAAACATCTAAGTACAGTGTTCTATCAAAATCTTTTTTTACAAAATCTTCAAGCATCAGGACTTTTATAATAATAATAATATTGAATGCCCTTCGAACATTATTTTACCACCTAAAGAAGTACTAAATGCTCTCCAGTCTTTTGACCAAAATGATGTTGCTTTCTTTAGACAAAAAGTCGAATTTTTATCTGACCATGAAATTTTTTTATTAACTAAAAATATGTTTATTCCCAATGAAGATTACATTTTCCCAAAAAATTCTGGCCGTCAGTTTAGATATCTTTGGTTGAAAGAGTTTTCTTGGCTAAGATATTCTAAAAGTACTGATGGAGCATTTTGTTTATCTTGTGTATTATTTGGCAATAAATTCAAACTAAGATCACGTAAGTTAACACATTTGTATTTGGAGCCTTTCAATAAATGGTCTGATGCTATTAGATCATTTTCACATCATGAGTCAACTAAAAATGGTTTACATGCATTTACTATGCCTGTTTTTAATATTTTTTTGAGTCGTTCCTCAGGTATAAGTCAACCAATAAATGTCATCATTGATACTAATGTAAAAGAAAAAATAATAAAAAATCGCCAAATACTTCGTCCTATTGTTGATGCTATAATTTTTTGCGGTCAAACCAATACACCTTTGAGAGGCCACAGAGATGATTCACAATATCTTCCAGAGGCTGGAGAGTATTCGAAATGTGGAACTGGTTGTTTTAATAAACTTTTAAATTTTGCTGTACGCAATGGAAATGATGTTTTAGGCTCTCATCTTAATAACTGTTCAAAGAATGCCTCCTACATTTCGAAGACTTCACAAAATGAAATTATTAAACGCTGTGGTGAAGAAATTAGTGAATCTATATTATCTGAAGTTCGCAAAATTGTTTTTTTTTTCAATAATTGCAGATGAAGCCTGTGACTCATCTACTAAAGAGCAAATGTCATTAGTTTTACGATTTGTTGATAGTGATTTCAATATAAGAGAAGACTTTATTCAATTTATTCATTGTAGTGAAGGAGTTAAAGGAAAAGATTTGTTTAATGTTCTTTTAAATTGTGTAAGCAACTTAAATCTAGATATAAAAAACTGTAGGGGTCAGGGATATGATGGAGCCAGTTCTGTCTCTGGGTATATAAATGGTCTTTCTGCTCAGGTTCTCAATTTAAATTCAAAGGCTTTGTGTACACATTGTCATAGCCATCGACTGAACTTATCAGTTTGTGAATCGTGTAATGTCCAATTAGTTTCAGAGGTTTTTAATAAAGTTCGCGAACTTTCTTATTTTTTTAATTATTCAGAAAATAGACAAAAGTTTTTAGAAGCTAGCATTTTAGAGCGAGAACCTCAAACGCATAAAAAAAAATTAAAAGATATCTGTAGAACTAGATGGATTGAGCGAATAGATGGTTTAAACACTTTTCTTGAGCATGATTTATCTATTTTCCATGCTTTATGTATCATGGCTTCCCCTGAGAGTTCTGTTAACAAAGACACACAAAACAAATCTTCTACTTTTTTAAATTCCAATGGCACTTTTCAATTCGTCTTTACTTTAGTTGTGACAACACGTGTCTTTGATTTTACTTTACCTGTTACTCGGTTACTGCAATCAAAAACTATTGATATCTTAGACGGTTTGCACCTTATTACAGCTCTTAAAAATACATTTATTTCCATCAGAAACGATATAGATAGTTTTCATAATAACTGCTATGAAGCAGCATGTTTGCTTTCAAGTAAAGCTGAAATTTCTGTTTTAAAACCAAGAACCTGTTCTATTCAAAAAAATCGTTCTAATGTTCCATCAGAGTCTGTTTCAGATTACTTCAAAAGAGCTGTTACTATCCCTCTTATAGATCATGTAACTACATCTATATCTACAAGATTTAAATCAGAAACTGTAGCTGCATATAAAGGGTTATTAATTATTCCATTTAATATTATTTCTTTTCTTAAAAGACCCAAAACCCAATTGTGTTGGAGGAAGCAGTTTGAAACATTCTGTGATTTTTATATAGATGATTTCCCTAATATCAGTGCCTTGAATGGGGAACTAGTTCTTTGGGAAAAATACTGGGAAAGTTTCTCTGGGACTATTCCTGACAATATATCTTTAACTCTTAAATCGATATCATTTCCTGGATTTGAAAATATTAAGATAGCTTTAAGGATACTTGGGACACTTCCTGTTACTTCATGTGAGTGTGAGAGGAGTTTTTCTGTTATGCGTCGGTTAAAAGACTATATGAGAACAACAATGTCAGAAGATCGACTTAACGGTTTGGCATTAATGTATATCCATCAAGAAATTGTTCCTTGTATTGATAATGTTATCAATAGATTTTCTATAAAAAATAGACGACTTGATTTCAATGATTAGTGTCTATACTGTTTATCCATCAAGAAATTGTTCCTTGTATTGATAATGTTATCAATAGATTTTCTATAAAAAATAGACGACTTGATTTCAATGATTAGTGTCTATACTGTTTATTCTATAACACGCCAACAACTTTTGAAATTTTTGTCTATTATCACCTCTCTTCATATAACAGCTAACAAATAGGCATGGAAACCCCTGGAAAGGCCAAGACTTCAATGGTGTCCTTAACAGGACGGGTTAAGTGTAACCCCATACTTTTGTTTGGGATTAGCTATATGATTAGTGATCATAGTTCAGGCAAACATTAACTATCTCTTTTTGACAATCTTTTTATATCATTTTCTAGCGACAAAATAAAAAATTAAAAAAATTATTTTCATTAAATTTTCTCTCAATCAACCTAATAATATTCATAAGTTTTTGTGCCATTTAACCATTAGGTTTCTTTTTACTTCATCAAAAATGATCTTCTTTCTTGTTGTTAAAGCTTAACTTGGTATGTCTTTTTTTTTTTAATCTTGTTATATAAGAATATATATAACTTTTTATATCGCGATGTATATAAATCCATTTGTATTTTTGTCTTTCTCTTTTCAGTTCTTAATTTTTCTTTCTCTGATTGTCCATGTCCGGAATAAATATGTTCCTAGACATGCTGATGAGCCCTGATATTGGGCGAAACAATCATTTGTTGGTTTATATATTTATCATATATTTATATATGAACAAAGTTTCAAAGTAAAACTAAGATATGAGCTTCTCAATGAAATAGCAAAAAGAAAATCCCTTTAAATCCTCTAGCCCAAGGGCAGGAAGATTTAGGGGGCAGGCTATGGGAGCGATGGCCTCCCTCAGATGTTTTTTTATAAGAACATTTTATAAAAACATAAGTAAATTTGTTAGGCTGTTTAAAAGTGGCATAAAATTGTGTAGTCTAAATTCTTTTTTTTGGGGGCTTGCCTGCTTAAAAATCGTTAAACCTGTAAATCGCCCCCTTTAATCGTTTGGAGCGAACGAAAAGAAAAATTGCCCACCCTTCTTTACTACATAGTCCGGATCCGCCCTTACTTATTCCTTCTCCCCCCCCCCCCATTTTTTCTATTTGCTTTGTGGGCGTAGTTGCGTCACTTACAACATGGCGTAAGGCGCATTTTTTTGACGGGGTAAATTAAAAACCTGCGTCCGCCCCTGACAGCAACCAATATGAATTCCAAAAAAAACAATTATACTGAACATGCCCTTCCACAATTTAAAAGAAATATATCTGATTCATTTGAAAAATCTCAAAATACTTTAGGTGGTTTCATTGAGATGGCGAAAGCTCTTGATACTATTGATCACAAAATTATTTTTAAAAAGTTGGAGTGGTACGGATTTACTGGAAATATATTAGTTTAGGTAAAAAGTTACCTAAATAATCAAAAACAATTTGTGGATGATAACGTATCATCTAACTTGTTAAATATTTCATATGGAGTTCCTCAATGATCCATATATTAGGAACTCTCCTATTTCTAATATATATGATTGATCTACCAAAAGCTTCAAACCTAATGACAATTATGTTTGCTGATGATTTTAACTTATTTCTTTCTTATAATAACATTTTTACACTTTTTAGCAACATGAACCTTGAACTTGTCAAAATTTCCGAATGCTTCAGGTTAAACAAACTATCATTAAATATTGATAAAACAAAATGAATTCTTTTTTTATTCTGATGGTAAAAAGCACCAGCTGCCTGGCAACTTACCTTTTCTTTTTATTGATAACATAATTATTTAAAGAGTTCTAGTGACAAGATTTTTAGGCGTATATATCAATGAAAATCTTACATGGAAAAGCCATCTTGCTAACTTGTGCAGTAAAATTTCAAAGAGTATAGGCATTTTATACAAAATAAGATACGTTCTTAATAAACATACTTTAATTCAATTATATTATTCATTAATTTATTGCCATATTAACTATGCAAAGATTACTTGGGATAACACTTATAAGAAGTAATTTAACCTCTCTGTCGGTAACAGAAGCATGTAGCACGCCTTATAAATTTCAAGAACCGTTTTGCTCACGCCAAGCGACTTTTATATGATATGAAAGCACTCAAAAAAAAAAAAAAAAAAAGTATTAAATATATATAATAGGGTGGGCCGAAAACAATTTTTTTCTAATTTTTGATTCGCTATACCGTGGAAAACATGCTTCAAGGGTATCTAAGGAAAGTGCAAAAAAAATAATACCAATATTTTACATATGGAGCTAGCGCATCGTACTTGAATATTTGAATAAATACTCGGTTTTTATCATTTTTGTAACAAAGTGCGCTTTAGAGTATTCTCAAAATGCGCTGCAAAATTGGTGTTTTTCTTGCCACAACAACTTGTTTTAATATAATTTTGTTTTGGTTATTTGATAATAATAACCAATTTGTGATGACTGTTTTTAAAAAAAATTTCTCGTAGCGAATTTAAGTGCCCGATTTTCGGTCATCCAATAGAATTATCTGCAAGTAAACTTTCAACTTATGAAGAAGTTCTCAAGTGTTGTTTTAATAAAAATTACAAACTAGCCTTGAAATAAAACAACAAACCAGTTAATTTTTTTTATGTTTCAAATTGTGTCTCACAACAAGTTAAATCAGTGTTTGATAAGGCTTCAATACCCACAGTAACAATTTACAGAGTTGTCCAATTATTAAATGGATACCATGACAGTTATCGCAAACTTATGAAATCCTTCAAGCGTGATAAAGAAAAAAGAAAGTTCAAAAAGAGAGTTGAAGATTTTAAAACAAAATCATTGTTATTGGTTCATGTCTCGGCGTGTATGTGTAACATAACATTAGACTGTTAATGTAAAATGGTAATTGAAATTTCTGAATGCAAGTGTTCTGTTTCAATTATCTGTATGTGTGAAAAAGAAAAAAAAAATCCCCATCATTGAACTAAAAATTGTGCACTTCCAAAGAATGCATGGTATTGGTAAAATTGGAAGTATTGACGTAAAAGAAACAAAAAAAAAAATTACACAAAGACACGATAGGAAATGTGCTGAACTTAAAAGAACTATGCCCGCTAATAATTTATTATCGCAACATTCATCCTCAAATCATTTAGATGAAACACTAAAGCAAAAAGAGTTCGATAGTGATGGCTCCATAGCCATTACAGAATTCATCGATGAAGAAAAATTTAAACTAACTTAGCCATGATGGCAGATGCGCATTACAATGAAAAGTACTGACTAGCGATCGCTATGGATTATCAGACAGAGCAACGGCAGCTATTGCCTCAAGTTTTTTGCAAGATTTTGGCATTGTAACCAATTATGATCCCAGTTGTTATTTTTGTTGTTGACAAAAATAAAATTAGAAGATCAAAAGTGGCTAACCGTTCACAACTTCAAATGTAGAGCAAGGAGAAATATAACCCACTTCAAGGATTGTATTTTGATGCGAGGAAGGACAAAACTCTAGTGGTCGAAAAAATTAAATCAAAATGGTTTCGACAAACCATAAAAAAGGAACATTACTCAATTTTACAAGAACCAGGTTGCGTGTTCGTTGGTCATGTTTCACCAACTTCTAGGTCTGCTGATAACATTGCCAGTAGCATTTAATTTTGGGTGAAAGTTCCCCTAGCAAGGTCTGAGGCGGAGCCCACATCTGACAACGGTTTTGCAACATATTATACGCCTAAAATTATGCTAAAGTGCCTCATTTTCAGTAATATTTGGACTGACTTGCATTAACAAATTCAGCCCAAAACCCCTTTTTGGTGCCCTCCCTCCAGAAAGGCTCCCGGGGTGACTGCCCCACAAGCCCTATTCTTATTACGCCTCTGTCCTAATATTTATTAAAGAATTTATTCAATTTCATTTCATTTGTAAGAAAATTACAAAAAGGGGAAATTTCTTTGATTATTTAAGCGCGATGCGCTAGCTCCAGACGTAAAGTTGTTTTTTTTTTTTGTTTTTTTTTTGCATTATCCTTAGGTACCCTAAAAACATGTTTTTTACGGTATAGCGAGTCAAAAATCGTAAAAAAAAATTTTTCGGCCCACTCTATTATATAAAGAAATTAAAAAAGAATGGATGTATGCGTATCTGCCAATATATGCATGTAGGCTACGTTTGAAAGTGAAATATCCTTTGGCAGTGGCTTGGCGCATTTATTGTCAGAAGCGTAAACAGAAACTTGGTAATTTGGCTAAGCACGCAGCGATAACCATCGTATCTTTTTGCACAACCTTTTGAATAATCTGGAAATGTATACATTTCCAGATTATTGTTTAGCCAAATTACCAAATTTTTGTTTACGCTTCTCAATGAATATTGTATACTTTATTCATTCTGGAAATGTGATTACATTGATTATTTACAGGGAAATATAGTAAATAATGTATAGCGATTAATAAGAATCGGTGATTATTTTTGACAAGTTAGATTCAGTGTGTTCAAGAGATTTATTTAGAAAATTATGAACATTATTATTCGCAGGAGTCATCTGTTCAGAAGACACAGCAATTTGATTAATGCAAGCCGCAAACACCATAACAAAAGGAAAATACCATTTAAAAAAAAAAAAAAAAACGTTCTAATTTCTTTAATAACGGTTTCATTGTGACAAGACCTGATGGTCTTCTTTTATTTATTTTTATACTTTATTTCTTAACGATATCTTGATTTAATAACATTTTTTTTTACATTATTGTAATAAAGAACAAAAAAAAAAAAAAAAAAAAAAAAAAAAAATCTTCTGTCTGAGCTTGATAGTAGTCGCCACAAAGCGTATCTAAAGGTCCGCAATCAATTAGAATCAGATATTTTTCAGTTCCATAATGTGTAATAACTATGGCCAAATTTCCAGTTTTCTTTAACATTCCTTTCCTACAATGTACAGGTGCTAGATCTATTGACTGACACGGCTCGCAATTTTTTAATACCATTTGAACTTCGTTTTCAATTGCGTTTGAAAAAACTTTATGAACATAGGT